TGTAGAGACAGCGCACAGTTGGGGAGAGCCATCAGAGTGGATAAAATTGAGGGGAAGAAGGTGGTAGCAACGCTAGCTAGGAAGGGAGGAGGGATCACCCGAGGAGTAATCTTTGGGGTGCCGATAAGTGTATCTATTGATCAGATAAAAGAAAATATAAAGGGAGCGAAAGTGAGGGAAGCAAAGCGCCTGAAAACAACACGTGAGGGGGAAAAATGTGACAGTCTGTCGGTTTTGGTTACGTTTGAGGAAGAGAGAATCCCAGAAAGAGTGCATATAGGATACATGAGCTACGGTGTGAGGCTCTATGTGCCTCCGCCATTAAGGTGCTTTAAATGCCAGAGATATGGGCATGTTGCAGCAGTATGTAAGGGGAAACAAAGATGTGGGAAATGTGCTGGGGGACATGAATATGGGAAATGTGAAATTGGAGCTAAAATTAAGTGCTGCAACTGTGGAGGGGAACATACCTCTGCATACAGGGGATGTGAAGTCAGTAAGAGAGCAGCAGAAGTGCAGCAAATGAAAACATCGAATGGAATCACATATGCTGAGGCAGCCAGAAGGGTGAGGGTGCAGGCAACTGAAAGTAATGCCAGGACAACCGAAAGGCAAGAAATAAGAACACATGAAGGATGAAAAAGAATTAAGGAAGACACAATGGTTGTGGGGAAGAAAGATTTCATACTATTCATGGTTGAGGTGGTTAACTGTACAGCGCAAACAGACAAGAAAACGGAAAAAATCAAAATAATAGTGAGAGCAGCAGAGAAATATCTGGGACTGGAGGCAGTTGGGTGGGAGGAAGTGGAGGACCTGTTGAAAGGAGGGGGGTCCAGCTCACAGAATCCATCACAGCAGTCATCAGTATGGGATGGAGGATCATCATGGTCCTAAGTATACTGCAATGGAATGCAAGAAGTCTCATAACCAATGGGCAGGAATTTAAGAAGTTTATATCTGGGTTACAGGACAAGCCCACTATTATATGTATTCAAGAAACATGGATGAGGGAGCAGTGGGATTTTGTAATACATGGGTACACGGCTGTAAGAAATGACAGGAAAAATGGGATAGGTGGTGGGGTAGCTACCTTTATAAAGGATGGGATAGGGTTTAATACAGGTCAAATAGGGACGGATCATGAGTCCATAACAGTAAAAATCTGGACAGGAAGATATGAGCTAGCAATTATTAATTACTATAACCCATGCAAGAGATTGAGTATGGATACACTGAATAAGGTACTGGGGGAGGTGCAAGGAAAAATATTGTGGTGTGGGGATTTCAATGCACATAGCACTTTATGGGGGAGTGAGAGAACAGACTCAAATGGTTCAATAGTGGAAGAATTTATAGAAGATAAAGGGTTAGTGTGTATAAATGATGGGAGGGGCACTAGGTATGATTGTGTACGAAATAAGGAGAGTGCAATTGACTTAACTTTACTGTCCAATGAGATGGCAGGTATCACAAATTGGGAAGTGCTAGATGAAATATTAATGGGGAGTGATCACTATCCTGTGATTAGTAAGGTGGGTGTAGAAACGCAGCGAGAGGAGGAAAGGAGGGTGCCAAGGTGGAAAATTCAGAACGCTAAGTGGGATGCTTATCAGGCAGTGAGTAGAAATATATTTGAGGAGTTACATGAGGAGCAATGGACAGGTGTGGATGAATGGAATGAGAGAGTGGTAGCAGCTATAATACAGTCGGCTGATGGGACAATTCCAAAAGTGTCTGGGGGCAGAAGTGTAAAAAGTGTACCATGGTGGGATAATAACTGCAGACAGGCTATAAGAGCACGCAACAGGGCATTCAGATTGTTAAAGAAGCAACATACAATGGAGACATTAATCCAATACAGAAGATCACAGGCAGTAGTGAAAAGGACAATCAGAGCAGCTAAGCGGGCGTGTTGGAGGAAGTACTGTAGTGAAATAGGGCAGGAGGTACAGCTGTCAGAAGTTTGGGGAATGATTAGGAAAATGAGTGGAATAAAAAGAAATATAACAATCCCGATTCTGAAGAAGGACGAAAGAACAGCAGTTAATAATTTAGAGAAGGCGACATTACTGGCAGAAACATTAATTCAAGTTCATAGCTCAGAAAATATCTCAACAGAAGCAAAGCAGCATAGGCAGAATGTACTGACACAAAACACATGGATTAGAGAGAAAAAGCAGGCAAGAGGGGATGATCTAGATCTGCCCTTTAATTTGTATGAATTAAGAAGAGCAGTAGCCAAAACGCGGCAGTCGTCACCAGGAAAAGATGATGTGTGCTACTGTATGTTAGATCACATGGATGACAGGTCACTGGGGGTAATATTAAAGTTATTTAATAAAGTATGGGAGTCAGGGGAGGTTCCACAGGCATGGAAACACTCAGTTATAGTGCCAATTTTGAAACCAGGTAAAGGAGCATCAGATCCATCAAATTATAGGCCAATTGCCCTTACATCTCAATTAGGGAAAACAATGGAGAAGATGGTAACAGAAAGGCTAATGTTTTTTTTAGAGAGTCATGACCTGTTTTCTTCATATCAAAGTGGATTTCGCAAAGGAAGGAACATGATGGATTCAGTGCTCAGTTTGGAGTCAGATATCAGAAAAGCACAGACAAATAAAGAAATAGTGATGGCTGTGTTCTTTGACGTAGAGAAGGCATATGATATGTTATGGAAAGAAGGGCTGCTGATTAAATTAGATAAGATGGGAGTAGGAGGGAAATTATATAACTGGGTACTAAGTTTTTTATTTAGAAGAACAATAGAGGTGAGAGTAGGGCAGGAATTCTCTCCAATATATGAGGTTGAAAATGGAACCCCGCAAGGGAGTGTGTGTAGTCCAGTAATTTTTAATTGTATGATCAATGATATATTTGAGGAGGTGGGGGGAGGAATATGTAAATCATTATTTGCTGATGATGGGGCCTTATGGGTAAGAGGGAGAAATCAAGATTATCTGCAGAAAAAGCTGCAGGCAGCGGTTGATCAAGTGTAGCAGTGGGCAAATAGATGGGGATTCAAACTGTCAGTGGCGAAAACCCAAGTAATATGCTTTGCTAAGCGACATAAAGAGGTGTCAATAAAACTATATGATCAAACTTTAGAACAAGCTAAAGTAGTACGGTTTTTGGGTGTCTTATTTGATGAAAAACTTACCTGGAAGCAGCATATAGAAAAACTGAGAGATAAATGTAAAAATGTTAATAACCTTATGAGGTGCATGGCAGGGCGAGATTGGGGTACAACTAGGAAGTCTCTGTTAAACATATACCAAGCAATGATGAGGTCCAGAATTTACTATGGCAGTGTGGCTTATATGTCAGCAGCAGAGAGTCACCTGAAGAAGCTGGACGTGGAACAGGCTAAGGGGCTGAGGATATGCAGTGGGGCGTTTAAAACCTCTCCAGTGGCTGCTCTTCAAGTTGAGGTAGGGGAAGAGCCTCTAAGGATAAGAAGGGTAAAACACATGCTGGCATACTGGGTATATCTGCAGGGGCACAAAAGGTCACATCCAGCAAAAGCAATATTAGAGGAATGCTCAGAGCACGACAAGACCAATTTTTTGAGTTTGGGCTGGGTAGGGAATGTAAAAGCTGAAAGTGTTGGTTTATGCAACATGCAATTTGTATCATTCTTTACCAGAAATCCCTCCATGGGTATTTCAGGAGCCAACAGTGGACTTTGGTATTCAGGATAAAGTAAAGAAGAAATCAGGGAATACAGGAGATATTGTGCAAAGATACATTGAACAGAACTATGCAAATAAACTGTTGATATTTACAGATGGATCAAAAGATCCAGAGACAGGGCGCACCGGGGCAGCAGTCTTCGTCCCAGAACAAAGACTGGCAATTAGAGAAAGGGCTACTGATCATGCCTCAGTATACTCAGTGGAGCTTTTAGCAATTATACTTGCATTAAAGTGGATGAAGGGAGGGAGTGTTGTACATGCAGTAATAGCATCAGATAGTTATGCAGCACTGGAAAGTATCAAAACAATGAAATCATGTAGGCAAGATCTTGTTATGGAGATTCATCAACTGCTACACCAGATACAGAACAGGGGGGGGACAACCAGATTTGTATGGGTTCCAGCACATGCAGGTGTTGAGGGTAATGAGGAAGTAGACACACTTGCAAAACAAGCTGTTAGAGCACAAACAATAAAAAACAGCATTCCACTGGGTAGAGCTGAAGGGAAGTCAATAATCAAAACACAGATGCAGAGAGTTTGGCAGGAATATTGGGACATCAATGACACTGGGAGACATTTCTACAGGATACAGAGTCAGGTGGGTGGAGGATGGGTATTTGGCAGGAGCAGGAAGGAGGAGGTGGCCATCACCTGTCTTAGGCTGGGGCACACAGGGTTAAACAGCACACTAAAAATAATAAGTAAACACCCCACAGGAAAGTGTCAAAGCTGCAATGTACAGGAAACAGTCGAACATGTCTTAATGGAATGTAGGGAGTATGAAAGAGAGAGGGAAGTATTAAAAAATGGCTGAAAAAAGGAAAACATTGGATTTACATTGAGGAGTGTGTTACAGAGAACAAAAGAGAGCAATAAACATGTACAAAGATATTTAAGAAAAACTGGCCTAGTTAAAAGGATCTAGTAGGGTTTGGAGGGGGTTCCCTTTATTTATTTATTTTTTTTTAAATTTATTTATTTATTTATTTATTTGTAAATTACCAATCTCATGTTCCACACTCCAGTTCGGTAGGTGGCGGCAATGCGCCAAATTGTTGGATGCCAGCCGCCAATCAAATCCAAGAAGAAGAAAAAGAAGAAGATGTGGTAACTATGCCACATACTCCGCTCCAGTAGGTGGTAGTAAGTCCTTGGTCGTAACCAGCAAGACTAAATTGACCAAAGAAGTAGAATTCAATATGGAGTCGCCCTACTCTCGTCCAGAATAACAGGTAATGACCTAGGTTAGATTTGGTGTTACTGTCGGTAGAAAATAATTTTAAACCAACGAGAATAATCATGTTTCCGGGAGTAACGAGGTGTTTAAGGACTTCAGGTTGGTCGTTTGCTCGAATCATTTTGCATAAAGACCTGACGCGACTGTCCGCACATGGAGGAGCTCGCTTCCGGATAGCGTGTAGAAGCTTCGTCTCCGGTCGGTGTTTGTTAGGCAAGGTTGCCTCGGCCAACAAACCCAGGGAGAGGGTCGAGATTCCTGGACTAGAGGTGGTCACTTACAAGGAAAAGATGCACTATGTCCCGGGGCTGTCAAAGCCCCCGAACCTACAATGGGAAAGGGACAGTGGGGATCCCATGCATTACAGAGTTCCTCCGGTCACAGATATGCCCCTTTACGAAACAAAACCCTGCTATGTTTACCACCAGCGGACCAGCGCACTCGAAGGTAAGTTGATACAATTTAATTACTTCAATGCTTTATCTTTTTGTAAAAACAAGCGGAATCTTGATCATTTTGAGGTTTTAAATGTCTTAAAAAATAGTGCTGTGCACCCTCAGTATCTTCATATTTATATATATTGTTACACAGGGAGAGGAGAATAATAATAACAATGCATGAATTTCAAGAGGTAGGTCCGGGGTGTAGAGAAATTTCAGTCATTTTTGTTCCTCTTGTTAATAATCTGTCTTTCATGGCAAAAACATCCTCACCCTAGTCCCCAACAACACCTAGAGAACATATCAGATAGGACAGTAGGGGGCACTGTACTCAAGCATTAAAAAAAAAGAAAAAAAGAAACAGAGCACATTATCAGTTGTCATTAACGGTGGGGTAGACAGGATCTGAGGAAGTGCCAGTTTTTGGGAGAAATCTTGAATGTAAACACTACCCCTCCCAGCCAATTTTCCCCTCAGCTCCTCCTCTTCCCTCCCTCTCTGCTCCAGCAAGCCCTACCCACAAACAGACGCTCCTGCTCGCTCGTATCGTTCCAGTTAAATTCAGATATAATGCAGATAAATACTTTGGATTATTACAAATGGGGCCCAGTCAACGTGAAAGTAAAAAGCATTGGTGCTGCTGTAGATGCCAACAGAATACCAGCAAACACAATGTTTGCAAGACTTCTACAACTAGGATAAAGTGACATACTCCAGGACCTGAGCTAAACAGTTTAGCAGAGCTACAACACACAGCAGGTCCCATATGACAAGAAACACTTCTGTTACAGACACTTGACTTACTTTGTTTAAGTGGTTTACCTGTCCAGTGGAAAGGTTACAGGGTCCGTAAGATCCCAAAGCGTCCCCCATCATTGTTGACCCGGCTTTTTTAGCTCTTGTCCGGGTGGTCTGCCTCCTTTTTAAGCGCCCATTATTCCGCCAGAGTATGACGGTAGAAAAGTGCCATAAATCCAAAGAAGAGCAGACTATGATTTGCACTTTGAATTAAGGCTTCACGATATAACGATATGTTTCGTCTAAACGATAGAAAATTTCTATTGGGATACATGAGCTCTATCGTTTATTATCGCGGTGTCGCAAAAACACGCTTTACGGCAGTGTTTTACGTTGTGACGCTCTACGGCCACTGTGAAAAACACAAACAAGCATGGAGGAGCCGGGTCATTGTGGCGAAAGAGATGACAATTCTCTTGCATCAAACGCAGACGAGCCAACGCAGACGGAGGAGCTGTTGCCGAAACGGGGGGCAACGTCGGTTGTGTGGTCGTGGTTTGGTTTTAAAAGGAGCGACACGGAGCAGACCGCTGTAGTTTTATTCTGAGTCAGCACATACGTGTAAATCTATATCGATATACTCTGATCTATATCTGATTTGATGAGCGCGTTTGGACACTCCACCTGACCGAATTAACACAGCTGAAACCGCATTAAATTAAATATCCAGTAAACAGTCACACATGATGAAGTTAACAAGATATTTAATTCGCCCCCCCCCGCTTATCCTCCTTCTTCCTCGCGCAGCTTGATAGGTGTTATGCCGTAGAATGCACCCCTGCATCCCATCCACTCATTAGCTTCTTAAAGTGGAAAAAAAATTATCTCATATTTAAAAAAACACAAGTATTGGATCATGACAGCATGTCAAATGGAGCAGCAAACTTTCGTTCTGTTTTTAGGTATTTAAAAAAAGCACATAGAGAGGTGTATTTGCGTATTTGAACTGCACAGTTAGCTGTCATGGTACAGAACATTATATTTTCGGGGCAGCAAATATTCCGAATCAGAGGGCTGTTTTTGTCGGCATATCTGAAAAGCCTGTATGAAATCATTAAATGCACACGCTTCAGAATCAGTCCAACGGTAAGGAAAACTTGGATTATTTCGCCTTGTTATGTATCTTCAACCGCGCTCCCGTCAGGGGGGCATTCTACGGAAGGGGTACATTCTATGGCACAACACCTGACGTGTCTCTGTGTCCTCTCTCCATCCTGCTGCTGATGCGGTGGCACGGCTGATCAGATGATTTATTTTAATGATCAGATGAGTTATTTACTTACTATCAGATGATTTATTTTAATGATCAGATGAGTTATTTACTTCAAGCTACATACGAATTTTATATTTTATATAAACTATACATCAATTGAATTTACAAAAAATGTACTATATCGTGATGTATATCGTATCGAGATATAAAATGAGCTATATCGGGATGTGACCAAAATCTCATATCGTGAAGCCTTACTTTGAATCCGTAATTCTCAACTTGTAAATGTGCATATCAGAATTTTTAAAAGCACTTCCAGTCCGGGGGCCAGATGTAGCCCTCAGGATGTTTACTGCTACCTTTTTTTCACTTTGATTTCCAGTTAGCCTATATCTTGGGCCATACCAAGATGATAGGGACCACCCTCAACTCGGGGCCGTTTGGTTTCAGGGGCCCAAAAACCCAATTTTGGGGCCCCTGATTACCTAAATGCAAATATCAAGGTGCTGCACCAACACAAATTGACAGAAAAGTCGAAAATTTGGCATGGAGTATCCTGACACATAAGGGTAAGTCGATAAACAAGATTCAGGACCTTGCTGCAGTTCAATTCTGAAATATCACACTCAACATCCCAATGAACACTCGAAAATTACTGTCTGCTTGATAGATCTTCATCAATATGACTGTTTTCCAGCACTTTATGATGGCTATCAATCCTGCACTGGTATATAGAAAACTTCCCATGTTCCTATGCTTCGATTTGAGCCCAAGATGACCTCTCTATGTTGAGTATTACTCTTTCTGTGGCCAAAATCCTGCACTATACCTCAAATTTGAGAAAATGGCATTTTCAGTCACTACCCTTTCAGTGAGCACCCACATTTCTCTGTGATTATTGACTTTCTCGACCTGTGTCCACCTTTCTGCCAACCGTCTCTTAATTGTCTATTTATTTCACCTGTCCTGTTAATACTTATATAATATATTTGCACGTTCCTGCCATTTTCGTCAAGTAATTGAAGAATGAACTGAATACCACATCACTACAGATTCAAGGTATGCTTTATGTTATCCATGACTAGACCACTTGAACCCCCGTATGGGTAACAGGAGTCCCTCTCCCTGCAATACCAATGCTGGGGTTTAGTGGTTAATGTTCATCATTATATAGTTTGTGTAACTAAGATTTAAAAGTATAAGTTTAAACCATACCTTTACAATCCATAAATTCATTTCAAATATTTCAGATTTACCAGACTGAACATATTCAATGTGTACTACAAGAGCAAACAGTTAAGGTATTATTTTATACAGGTAAGCTACATTATCACACTTCATTGTTTTCATGTGACTGGAAGTGAGAAGACATATGAACATTTGCCCTTTTCTCATGTAGGATGATAATATAATGGTCTACACCTGCAACAACATCAGTCTGTGCAGATTTGAGGTGATATGAATACAATACATGAAATATGTAATAGCTTTGAATTAATGTTAATTTGCACCCTTAATAACACACCCTTTGTTGCAATGATTATACTGATTTTCAGGTGGTTGCATTGCTACGTGTAAAGCAGTAAACATGTCAAAGTGACAACAAAAGGATGAAGCCTGGACACCTTGCCAGAGTTCATCAAAGATGGAGAATGTGCTACCACCTCAGTCACACGTGGAAAATTGCATTTTGCATGGTTGCAAGGGGGAAGTAAATGATGGCTTTGTGGCATTTTCTTCTAAGCTGATCCACTGAGGACATTTAAGGAAATTCATGATATGAAATCCAAACTTTTGACACAAACATCTGACTGCGGCGGTATGCAAGATGTTTGCGAATCAATTCCTGATGAATTGTCCTTAGATACTGGATATCACAGAAACTGTCATTTTTCCGTAATGCAACCCGTGCCTTAGCAAGAACATGCCAAGCAGTAAATCACAGACAAAAACGTGAGCATATGGATTCTTCAGTTTTGTTCGGCAATTACTGCATATTCTGCAAAAGTGGTACTGTGTAGCAAGCTTCAGGCAAGAGATATAGCTTGCAGAAATTCCAGTCAACTGCATACAAATCTATTGAGACAAAAGCTATGGAACTAGGTGATGAAGATCTGTTATGCAAAATTGTGGGTGTGGATCTTGTTGCTAGGCAGGCACAATTTCATGACTGCTGTTGCAAGCAGTACTTGGTAAAGTGAGCATCTCAGCCTGATAGCACAGATGCAGCATCGACAAAGAAAGCAATGATAACTAAAGCTTTCACTCAAGTATATGACTACATACAAACTGAAATTATTCAAAAAGGTCAGGTTGTCAAACTTGCTTATCTTACGGATTTGTATAATGATACATTGAGAAAATTTGAAGGATCTGCTTCTCCAATAACAGCTCACAACCTCAGACAAAAAATTGAATGCCATCCTGATCTCAAAGATAGTGTTGACTTCTCATCTTGCCCATTCAAAAACACGTTAGTGTTTTGTCGTTCCCAGGAATCGATGAAAACAACAGTTCAGCGTTCAGCTTATGAGATGGGAAATAATGATTGGAGTAAAGAAATCAGCCATGATCTTCACCACAAAATCATAAAAGCATTCAAAAATTCAGAACCACTGACATGGCCCCCTACAGCTCATGATATCCCAGAACCAAAAAAAGAGATTCCCTCTGAGGTTTTACAATTTGTATTAAACCTAATCTGTGGTGATAAAAAGCCATCACAAAAACCATCACATACAGAGGAATGTCTAGCAATCTCCATTTCCCAAGACCTCTGCAGAGCAGATACATCAGGCCGATGGAAGATGAAGATGAACACATCTTGCTATGTATGACACTACAGCATCTCTTCAGATCCAAGAGCATAGCCACTCTGATCAATAAGCTTGGCCACTGTGAATCATACTCATACTCACTGGAACTTGAAACGGCTCTGGCAAATTCAATAATGGAAAGTGCATCAATAATAAGCCAATCCGACATTATCAGGGGACAACCTGACGAAGCAGTCTTCCATAGTGACTGGGACAATTTTGATCAGCTGGTATCAAATATATATGGTGCAGGGTCCATTCATACTGCTGCAGGGATCTACATGCAAGATCTAGGATCTTCAGATACAGCAGGCCTTACCTCAGTACAGCCTAGACAATATCCTACCACTCGACCTACAACAAAACGAAGATCGTTCAAAAGCCCTGCTCAGGATTTGCCAACTTACTACAAGCGGAAATGGTCAGAACCAGTACTGGCAGCATCCAATTCAAATACTGCAGCCACATGAAGCAACTCAAAATCAGATTCTGATCATGTTTGGGTCATTGCTTGTAATATCAACTCCGTGGATCAGCACATCCCTGGTTTGTCAGGCTGGTTGTTGGTAACTGGCTGTTCTCCAAAATGCCTCACCAGAATTGGGTATTATCTCATGATCAATGCTCCAATAACAGAATTGTCAACCATTCAAGAGTGCCTTCAATGCAGCCAAGCTGCATCCTCTGAAGCTGGACAAGAGTACACCATCAGTACATTTGACCTAGAGGTTTGCATGAAAGCCTACCCTCTAATATGGAATGAACCTGAGAGATATAAAAAACACATAATCCTCATTGGCACATTCCATTGCTGTGGAGTATACTTGAAAGACATAGGCAAAAGATACTGTCAGGGTAGTGGATGCGTAGAAGTGGCTTTAGAAGCTAAACTAATCACCACCGGCTCTGTGAATGCAGTCACTGATGGGAAGAATTGGGATAGAGCTATGAACACACACAAGTCCATGCTCGAAGCTCTCGAGAGACTCCTATATGAAAAGTATCTGGAAAATCATGAACCACTCTCCTCTGAAAGTATCCATCTTCTGGAAAAAAAAATAACCTCAGTGAATCTCCTCTCACTGATGTATTAGCATCAGCCAATGTATCTACCCACATAGGAGATTATCTTTCCTTCAGACAAACTGTGCGAAATGGAGATCTGGGAGAAACCCCCCGATTTTGGATGGAATACATGGACTGCATTTGCCGTGTGCTGTCAGTGAATAGAGCAGTAAAGATGAATGACTTTGATGGACACAAAGCTGTCATAAATGCCATGCCTGACCTCTTTTTCTGCTCAGATCAACAGAATTATGCTAGGTTCCTCACATATTTTGGCTATTTTCTAGAACACATTGAGGAAACTCAGCTATGCCAGTAGATGTGCACTATGATGTGTTGAATGCTTTTAAAAACGGCCAAACACAAAAAGAAAAGTTCATCCGTAATTGACTAATTGGAAAAGAAGTCCCTTTCTTCAAACCTATCAAGAGGAACAAGTTCAAAGCTATGTCTTCCACCACACCTAAAAGGCAGCTTGTGGCATCCAACCAGAAGGTGATCCAGTATAAGGCGACAAGTGGGTTTATCTTTCAGATCTTCATCAAATCCCAACTACTGCGGTCACAAATCAGCATCTCTGAATTGATGTCCTACCCACTGACTGTGACTCCATATTCCATCTTAACAGTTGATGGATTCTTTGCAAAAAACAATAAAGCACAGGGGATGAACCTCATGATTAAAGATGCTGAGAATGTGGAGCTTCCCTCAGCTAGTCAGTGTGGTCTTGTAGATGGCAATGCCACTTTCTACATGAGCAATGTGCCCCAGACAGTGAAAACCATTTCAGAACGTATCATCAAAAGTCAACCTCCTGCAGCAGAAACGGTGTTCAGTACAGATACCTACGTTGACTGTCTTCACTCTCCAAAGTCAGCTAAGAGGGACCGTAGAGGTTGTAGTGAGCGGTATATAGTCAATGGTCTGAATGTTCGCCGACCTGCCGATTGGAAAGGGTTTCTCTCAAATGATGACAACAAGAAGTCACTCATACATTTGCTTCTTGAGCACTGGAGCTCCACAGAAATGTTGGAAGTGATACAGCGAAGGCCCATCATCTTTATTGAGGCTGGTAAAGCTTATAGGATTAAAGTTGAAGATGGAGTGGTTTCAAAGGCACTTCTTCCTGACCTCTGTTCAAAACATGAAGAAACTGATGTGAGGGTGATCATCTACATTAATCACATACAAAACACATTGCCTCACATCAGAACTGTCAGAGCAGAAGACTCAGACATTTTCTTCATTCTCCTTTACTATGCCAAGACCTTCACAGTAGACGTGATATTTGACATGGGAGATAAGCTCATAAACATCAACCATCTGGCTGAAGACTATTCCCAAGAGCATATCTCCGCCCTGCTGGCCCTGCATGCCTTCACTGGTGCTGACTGCACCTCAGCATTCAAAGGCAAAGGAAAGGTGCGACCCATGAAGCTTTTGAACAAGCAGTCAAAGTTCATAGAGATCTTTGCCGCAGTGGGGAACTCTTGGGAACTTGATGGGTTTGAACTATCTGGTACTGAGGAGTTCACCTGCCGCCTCTACAGCTTTGGTCCTCGAGGGAAGCATGTCGATGAGGCAAGAGAAATCAAGGTGCAGAAAATGTGTTGCTCAAGCCTTGAACTTCGCCCAGGTCTCTCCATTGACCTTTCCACCTTTCCACCGTGCAAGAGGGTTCTCGTTCAGCACATCAAGAGAGTGAATTTTCAGGTATGCATCTGGAAGAGGGCTCATGAGAACAACCCAGCAATCCCATCAACTCTTGACAATGGGTTTCATCTCAACACGGAAAATGGAAAACTAGAGCCTCTGTGGTTTGAAGGTGATGTCATCCCAAAAGCCCTCATTGATGTCTAGGTTGAGGAGGGGACAGATGAGGATGACCCAGAAGAAATCCATACATACATAAATGATGACGAGGAAGAGGAGGAAGACGAATATGATGATTGAAGCTAAATCATTTGACATGATTCAAAGGAAATTAAGTTGTAAAGTTTGGATTGGGATAACATTTGTTTGATTTTGTGAAGCATGGCATTGTTTTACTGTGCAACTTTTGGTGCACATTAAGGCTGCACGATATTGGAAAAAAATAATATTGCGATTTTTTCAACCCTGCGATATATATTGCGATATTAAAAATACAGTATTTTCACCAGATGACCTGAATAGCACTTAATGTTATGCTGCACTGCTGAAATCTTGAGGACAGTTAATCTGCTCTGATCTTACCTCTTTTTGTGAATGTTAGTAGAATGGCTTCTGTCTGTCTCAGAGATATTTTTAGCTTTTATTGTGCTGGGACGTTATTGTGGCAACAGGTGAACACAGAAGACGTGTTTTGGTCGACATCATCCTTCTTTTAACCGAAATAATTCCAGATAACTGACTTTCCTGTTCTTTTTGGCAACAAATCTTCATTTTCGGTGGTTTTCTCTTGTTCGTTGTTCATTTTGCGATCGTTGTTGTTGTTGTTAGCGGTGTTGTGCCGAGAAACGCATGTCCTCCGAGAATTGCATGCACCTCGCAAAACGCGCACTGCTTATAGTAGAGTGGTCCACGGAAATGTACAATTTAAAACCCATACAGTTCTTATTTGTTGGGCAGGGTAGTCTGATTGGCAACTGAGAAGTGAGTCTGATTGGCAACTGAGTTAAGGACGAAGGCGATTGGTGGATCGCTGCACAGCACATGCAGAGTCACATGGAGTGCATCTCAGTCGGTTACCCTTGAAATTAAATGAGTTCATTCACCTCCAATATCGCAGGCTCTGCGATGTGACTATCGCACACACGTACATCGCGATGACGATAGTCAAACGATATATCGTTCAGGCCTAGTGCACATTGTTTTGCTACTGATTGGAACAAGCTATTTGTGTATCAAAAATACATCATAAACACTGTTGAAATCATTTGTGTCTGCTGTAGTATTCACTATCCATGCATTTAACTTCAGATAACAGTAGTAGCAGAACATGTCTTATTTTCTGGGCCTCTTGGAGGCTAGTGAGTGAAATGTCAGTTTTCGCTGAAAGGAGTGTAGTGCAGATTCTTGGCCACAGAAAGAGTAATATTCAACATAGAGAGGTCATCTTGGGCTCAAATCGAAGCTTTTGAACATGGGAAGTTTTCTATATACCAGTGCAGGAGTGATGGTCATCATAAAGTGCTGGAAAACAGTCATATTGATAAAGATCTATCAAGCAGACAGTAATTTTCGAGTGTTCATTGGGATGTTGAGTGTGATATTTCAGAATTGAACTGCAGCAAGGTCCTGAATCTTGTTCATCTACTTACCCTTATGTGTCAGGATACTCCATGCCAAATTTTAGACTTTTCTGTCAATTTGTGTTTGTGCAGCACCTTGATATTTGCATTTAGGTAATCAGGGGCCCCAAAATTGGGTTTTTGGGCCCCTGAAACCAAACGGCCCTGAGTTGAGGGTGGTCCCTATCATCTTGGTATGGCCCAAGATATAGGCTAACTGGAAATCATAGTGAAAAAAAGGTAGCAGTAAACATCCTGAGGGCTACATCTGGCCCCCGGACTATTCTCCAAGGTTGCACTTGTAACTTCAGATTTGCAAATCTGCATCTTCGAATTTGCACCTGTAACTTCAGATTTGCAAATCTGCATTTGCATGTTTGCACTTGTAACTGCAGATCTGCAAATCTGCACGGCAGGATTTGTATCTGCTACTTCCTATCTGCTCGCTCAGTTGCGTCGTCCTCCTCATGTGATTTTTGGCACGATTCTCCCGGTTGAATATGAGAAACAATGTGCACTCGCAGACCTTGCTCTGCCACTTGCGTCCAGTGGGTAGCAGTGTGGTACTAAGTCTGTAAAGGCGACTAGAGCTGCGCTGGTCCTCCTGTCAGTTTTGTCCCAGTGGATTTGCCGTATTTTGTTATCCAAGATACACAAGGCCATTAATGTATCTGTGTAAGATCCCTAACGTTAATAAGTATAACACAGCAAGTTGCCATTAACACCTCATTACAAGATAAAATAGCAGGCCTATGAATGCTTTGTAAACAAAAGTACTTGGTACATGTTCCTATCATCATTATAGGTTTGTTAATAAAATAGTAAACCTGTTGTGTCCCTTGACATTCCTCAAAGTGGACTAGCAGAACATGCACTGACATGGTTGACCCACATTTTTTGCAACCAGTTTTGGGCAGTTTGGCAAAAACACTTTGGTCTTGTGGGAGGGGAGTCGTGTCAAGTTGTTCTTGTAATGGCATAATGGATATTGTGTTTTTGCCAGAGTAGGAAGCTATTTTTAACTTTTGCGCAATGTACCCCTCTGCTTCAGGTGAAAGCAAGCTTAGCTTGTGTTGTCCAGTTCCTCCTACACAAAAACCACACACACACACACACACACACACACACCATCACAGAAGCTTTGTATATATGTATGTGTGTATGTATATTTGTGTTTGTGTATATGTGTGCGTGTGTGTGTATATATGTGTGTGTGTGTGTGTGTGTGTGTGTGTGTGTGTGTGTGTGTGTGTGTGTGTATGCAGGGTTTTTTCCAGGCTCAAATTGAGGCAGAGGTGGCACCATCCTGACCATGCGCCATGACGTGCATGTATTTGTAAATTCAACTGACTCACTTTCTTTTACAGGCAACATTCTTTAAGTTAAGAGTTCAAAAAAGAGTGTGACCATTATCATGTTAAAGCATTCATTTATTAAAACAATATACATACACAAATCAGCTGACAACTTTAAATTTAAAGTACACTTCATCCACAAATCTCGCAACCAGACAGAACATTTCAGCCTCCTCTTTTTCATTCTGTAGAACCTCCTCATGCACTCCTTGTAGTCCAAGGCCTCCTGGGGCCTGTTCTACGAAGCAAGTTCAACCTAGCGAGGTAGCCTTGGAGCTACCTCGCTCAACTTAGCGCGGTAGCCAGCGGTCTCGCTACACGGGTTTACGACGCTGGTTAACAACCTCGTAAGTTGATCCAGCTTTGCTATGAGCGCGTGCACACATGTAAGGCGGAGCCCGCCGCATCTGACCAATCGCGAACATGGACAAGTCTGGAGCGTCAGAGCAGGCTGGAGAGTGAAGGACCGCAGACTTTACAAACGAGGAGCAGGAGACGATCATGAGAAAGTATCAGGAATTCAAAGCTATCACAAAGCTCAAAAGCAACACCGTCGTCGCTACAAAAGCACGGAAGGCAGAAAATTAATCTTTGATGCCATTATCACCCTGAAATAGCACTGTTCAACATGCGTTTTTAACTAAGGTGACCAGACGTCCCCGATTTCCGGGGACAGTCTCCGAATTGGATGATCTGTCCCCATCTAAAACTGTCCCCGAAAATGTCCCCGATTTAAGCGTTTCATGAATGAGAACAAAAATGTTGCATGTGGGCTAGAACAACGGTTATTACACTAGGTAGGAAGCACAAGTAAGCAGTCCTGAACAACAGTATTTACAGGGTTATTAAAAGGGGCATGCGCTGCTACTAAATAGTACCTAGATGTTGTCTGTGATCACACAGCCCATGCAGCTCATTCATTTGTTCATTCCTATCGTGTTTACATGTTTTGTGTGATATGTAGGCCATATGAGCCTTCCATAAAGGTGGTCATCCGGAGAAGTAAGTGGGTCCGTGCAGTCCTTGTAAACTCTCGCGAGCCGGAGTGCTCCTCCTCGGACAATGCGAGCACCGAGGTCTACAGGATCCTCCGAGAGCGGACAAGCCGTTTTTCGAGAGAGCTCATTGGTCAGTGGGCGGGTTTTTATGCTCGGGGAGTTCAATCTGGAACTTAACCTGCCCCGGAGCAGGTTAGCCGTTCAGCGTGCGTTGCTATGGAGACTCGCCTCGCTAAGAAGTTAACCCGCGTCGTAGAACAGGAAACCCCGAACTTACCCTCGAAGTTATCTCGCTAAGCAGTAATCCTGCTTCGTAGAACAGGCCCCTGGTCTGGTCCATCAACGGCCACCTTACAACAGACATCCAAGTGCCTCTCCTTCAGTCTGTTCCGCAGAGGTGTCTTCACCTTAAACAAAACAATTCATCATGCATTAAGTATTTTTGTTTTTATTCTGATACAGGTATGAAGAGTGATAGTGTTTTCAATCATATATTATATATATGTATACGCTGCAGTGTCCTCCCTTAAAAAAATGACAACCAATTATTTCTTAAACTATCTAAACTGTTATTTTAGTTTTTGTAACTATTAGTTGAGTGTTTTTAGGTACTACCATCTTTAATATACTTCTCCTTCTTTTCTGCTGCTTTGTGAGTGGCTGTCACCTCATGTCATTTTAATGTGTCCAGCCTGTAGTTGGTTGATGGCTGTCTCACTAAGGAGGCAGCAATTGCCTGCTGTGTTGGGGCACAGTGCTTTTGGCATAAATAGCAGTGCATGCCTTCCTCAGTATGCCTGAGCCAGGTAAATTGATTGAGCCACTGCTTGTCAAAGCCACTGGCTCTGTGTTTTTGAAAAGATCTGGAAAAAGGAATAAAAACCATGTACATGTTGGCTTTGTGTTGTTATGCTCCTAATTGGAAACTAATTAATTTATTATCTTCGCCTCGCCGACTCGTCCTGTCCTGCATTCTGACCCTCGCGATCACCAGTCCCTTGTTAAGTACTTTCAGACCTGACACAAATTTCCACGTTGTCACCACCATGAATTATAGCATTTTAACTGCCTGTTACGGTTTTTCTCTGCTGTGTTTCACCTGGACTCTTGACTTTCCTCCTCGCGAGGTCGCTTTTTAAAGTACTGGCTGATTTTGCCTGTCATATCTGCAACGCTAAAAAACGGAGGAAACTTTTTTTTTAAATAAACACGACATGCTTGGATGCAAAAAAGACAAGCAGTATTTACCTGTTTGTACCATCCGCCAGGGAAAATCAGGACGCCGATAGCACCAACTAGCGGTAAAAAAAAAACTTGAAAGAACATGATTCGATCCGTTTCTTCTTCGGTAGATGCTTCAGGTCTTTCCGATGCTCTGCTGTTGATATAGCGCCTCTATAGTGGCGCAACGCTGCAACTGCAGTTAAAATACGTTGCTGCTGCAGAGGGACATCAATCGCTCAATCAACACAGCTGGAGCTTTACGCTGTGCTGAGCGAAATCAATCGCTCTGGCTGGGGGCGGCACAAAATTAGGTGGAGGCGGCCGCCACGCAATTTTGAACGCAGGAAAAACCCTGTGTATGTATAGAGACAGCCATCAACCAACGACAGGCTGGACACATTAAAAAGACGAGGTGACAGCCATTCACAAAGCAGCAGAAAAGAAGGATAAGTATATTAAAGATGGCGTATATTGCTTGGCGGCCGCCTCCACCTAATTTTGTGCCGCCCCCAGCCAGAGCGATTGATTTCGCTCAGCACAGCGTAAAGCTCCAGCTGTGTTGATTGAGCGTATGATGTCCCTCTGCAGCAGCAACGTATTTTAACTGCAGTTGCAGCGTTGCGCCACTATAGAGGCGCTATATCAACAGCAGTGCACCGGAAAGACCTGACGCATCTACCGAAGAAGAAACGGATTGAATCATGTTTTTCAAGTTTTTTTTCCCGCTAGTTGGTGCTATCGGCATCCCGATTTTCCCTGGCGGCTGGACACAAACAGGTAAATACTGCTTGTCTTTTTTGCATCCAAGCATGACGTGTTTATTAAAAAAAAAAGTTTCCTCCGTTTTTTAGCATTGCAGATATGACAGGCAAAATCAGCCAGTACTTTAAAAATCGACCTCGCGAGGAGGAAAGTCAAGAGTCCAGGTGAAACACAGCAGAGAAAAACCGTAACAGGCAGTTAAAATGCTATAATTCATGGTGGTGACAACGTGGAAATTTGTGTCAGGTCTGAAAGTACTTAACAAGGGACTGGTGATCGCGAGGGTCAGAATGCAGGACAGGACGAGTCGGCGAGGCGAAGATAATAAATTAATTAGTTTCCAATTAGGAGCATAACAACACAAAGCCAACGTGTACATGGCTTTTATTCCTTTTTCCAGATCTTTTCAAAAACACAGAGCCAGTGGCTTTGACAAGCAGTGGCTCAATCAATTTACCTGGCTCAGGCATACTGAGGAAGGCATGCACTGCTATTTATGCCAAAAGCACTGTGCCCCAACACAGCAGGCAATTGCTGCCTCCTTAGTGAGACAGCCATCAACCAACTACAGGCTGGACACATTAGAATGACATGAGGTGACAGCCACTCACAAAGCAGCAGGAAAGAAGGAGAAGTATATTAAAGATGGTAGTACCTAAAAACACTCAACTAATAAAGTTACAAAAAAATGAAATAACATAGTTTAGATAGTTTAAGAAATAATTGGTTGTTGTTTTTATTAGGCAGGACACTGCAGCGTATACATATATATAATATATGATTGAAAACACTATCACTCTTCATGTCTGTATCAGAATAAAAACAAAAATACTTAATGCATGATGAATTGTTTTGTTTAAGGTGAAGACACCTCTGCGGAACAGACTGAAGGAGAGGCACTTGGATGTCTGTTGTAAGGTGGCCGTTGATGGACCAGACCAGGAGGCCTTGGACTACAAGGAGTGCATGAGGAGGTTCTACAGAACGAAAAAGAGGAGGCTGAAATGTTCTGTCTGGTTGCGAAATGTGTGGATGAAGTGTACTTTCAATTTAAAGTTGCCAGCTGATTTGTATACAGTATGTGTAAGGTATTAATAAATGAATGCTTTAACATGATAATAGCCCTCATTTTTTTTTGAACTCTTAACTTAAAGAATGTTGCCTGTAAAAGAAAGTGAGTCAGTTGAATTTACAAATACATGCACGTCATGGCACATGGTCAGGATGGTGCCACCTCTGCCTCAATTTGAGCCAGGAAAAACCCTGTATATGTATGTATATATGTATATGTATGTGTATATGTATGTGTATATATGTATGTATGTATATATGTATGTATACATATATGTATGTATACACTCACCGGCCACTTTATTAGGTACACCTGTCCAACTGCTCGTTAACACTTAATTTCTAATCAGCCAATCACATGGCGGCAACTTAGTGCATTTAGGCATGTAGACATGGTCAAGACAATCTCCTGCAGTTCAAACCGAGCATCAGTATGGGGAAGAAAGGTGATTTGAGTGACTTTGAACGTGGCATGGTTGTTGGTGCCAGAAGGGCTGGTCTGAGTATTTCAGAAACTGCTGATCTACTGGGATTTTCACGCACAACCATCTCTAGGGTTTACAGAGAATGGTCCGAAAAAGAAAAAATATCCAGTGAGCGGCAGTTCTGTGGGCGGAAATGCCTTGTTGATGCCAGAGATCAGAGGAGAATGGCCAGACTGGTTCGAGCTGATAGAAAGGCAACAGTGACTCAAATAACCACCCGTTACAACCAAGGTAGGCAGAAGAGCATCTCTGAACGCACAGTACGTCGAACTTTGAGGCAGATGGGCTACAGCAGCAGAAGACCACGCCGGGTGCCACTCCTTTCAGCTAAGAACAGGAAACTGAGGCTACAATTTGCACAAGCTCATCGAAATTGGACAATAGAAGATTGGAAAAACGTTGCCTGGTCTGATGAGTCTCGATTTCTGCTGCGACATTCGGATGGTAGGGTCAGAATTTGGCGTCAACAACATGAAAGCATGGATCCATCCTGCCTTGTATCAACGGTTCAGGCTGGTGGTGGTGGTGTCATGGTGTGGGGAATATTTTCTTGGCACTCTTTGGGCCCCTTGGTACCAATTGAGCATCGTTGCAACGCCACAGCCTACCTGAGTATTGTTGCTGACCATGTCCATCCCTTTATGACCACAATGTACCCAACTTCTGATGGCTACTTTCAGCAGGATAATGCGCCATGTCATAAAGCTGGAATCATCTCAGACTGGTTTCTTGAACATGACAATGAGTTCACTGTACTCAAATGGCCTCCACAGTCACCAGATCTCAATCCAATAGAGCATCTTTGGGATGTGGTGGAACGGGAGATTCGCATCATGGATGTGCAGCCGACAAATCTGCGGCAACTGTGTGATGCCATCATGTCAATATGGACCAAGCTCTCTGAGGAATGCTTCCAGCACCTTGTTGAATCTATGCCACAAAGAATTGAGGCAGTTCTGAAGGCAAAAGGGGGTCCAACCCGTTACTAGCATGGTGTACCTAATAAAGTGGCAGGTGAGTGTATATGTATATGTATGTATATATGTATGTATATATGTTTGTATGTGTATATGTATGTATTAGGCCTGCACGATATAGCGTTTGAACATCGTCATCGCGATGTACGTGTGTGCGATAGTCACATCGCAGAGCCTGCGATATTGGAGGTGAATGAACTCAGTTAATTTCATGGGTAGCTGACTGAGATACACTGCATGTGACTCTGCATGTGCTGTGCAGCGATCCACCAATCCCCTTTGTCCTTTACTCAGTTGCCAATCAGACTCAGTTCTCAGTTGCCAATCAGACTACCCTGCCAGCTGTCAATCAAAATCAGGGAGGAGGAAACCCACCCCTGCACATGTCCTGCACATGGAGGGAGACGCGTGTCCGCTGAGAATTACTTTCGGAACTTTACTCATGACTATTAAGCCCAACAAATAAGAACTGTATGGGTTTTAAATTGTACATTTCCGTGGACCACTCTACTATAAGCGGTGCGCGTTTTGCGAGGTGCATGCAATTCTCGGAGGACATGCGTTTCTCGGCACAACACCGCTAACAACAACAACAACAACGATCGCAAAATGAGCAACGAACAAGAGAAAACCACCGAAAATGAAGATTTGTTGCCAAAAAGAAAAAGGAAAGTCAGTTATCTGGAATTATTTCGGCTAAAAGAAGGATGATGTCGACCAAAACACGTGTTCTGTGTTCATCTGTCAACACAATAACGTCCCAGAACAATAAAAGCTAAAAATATCTCTGAGACAGACAGAAGCCATTCTACTAACATTCACAAAAAGAGGTAAGATCAGAGCAGGTTAACTGTCCTCAAGATTTCAGCAGTGCAGCGTAACATTAAATGCTATTCAGTAGTGGTGCAACGGATCATCATTGATCCGTGATCCGTTCGGATCGACATCATCGGTTCGGCACACACGTTACCCGCGGTTCGATTTCTGAAAAAAAAAATTTGGCTTCCCTGTCAACTATGATGAGGAAGGAAAGAGGTCAGTGGACAAAACTGCGAAGGTGTGTAGGCACTGTGGCATAAGAAAGCCATATGACAGTGGAAACACATCGAGCATGTTCACGCATTTGAAAGCGACATCACCTGGGTGTTGTAATGACAGGTGTTGTGCCGTAGACTGCACCCCTGCCGTAGAACGCACCCCTGCATCCCCTCCACTCGTTAGCTTCTTAAAGTGGAGATAATGATCTCATATTTAAAGAAACACGAGTATTAGATCATGACAACATGTCAAATGGAGCAGCAAACTTTCATTTTCTTTTTATGTGTCTCAAAAATGCAAATATAGAGGTGTACTTGGGTATAAACTGTACAGAAAGCTGTCCAGGTAGAGAGCATTATATTTTCGGGACAGCAATATTCCAAGGGCTGTTGTTTTTGGCTTCTTTGAATAGCCTGAATGAAATTATTACAGGCAAACGCTTTTGAATCCATCCAATGTAAGAAAAACTTGGATTATTTCGCCTTGTTATGTACTTTAAACCGCGCTCCCATCAGGGGGTGCATTCTACGGCAGGGGTGCATTCTATGTCACAACACCTGAGATAAAACGAAAGCTGGCCAGCAACCGCTCATCACCGCAGCATTTAAGCAGCCTCTTCCTGCGCAATCCGACCGGGTTAAAGCTATCACAAACGCTATCGGTGTGTTTATAGCTACAGACATGAGGCCATATTCAGTTGTGCAAACGAGGGCTTTAAAAACATGCTGGAAGTGCTTGAGCCACGTTACAATATCCCACCGCGCACATACTTCATTTTTGGTTCATTGTTACATTTTAAAGGAAGGAGATATGCCTATATATTGCACTTTAAGTTGTTTTTCATTAATAATTATGTTGAAAAGAAGATATTATGCCGTATGCACTACTTTTATATATTTTAATTCAACCATTTAAGTGTTTAATATACAGACAAAACTGCTTTTTGCTGATCTGAAAAATGATCCGATCCGTGACTCTTGATCCGAGGAACGATCCGATCCGTGAGTGTTGTGATCCGTTGCACCACTACTATTCAGGTCATCTGGTGAAAATTCCTATATTTTTAATATCGCAATATATATCGCAGGGTTGAAAAAAATCGCAATATTAGTTTTTTCCAATATCGTGCAGCCTGAGTATATATGTATATATGTATGTATATATGTATGTATGTATATGTATGTATGTATATATGTATGTATGTATATGTATGTATGTATGTATATGTATATATGTATGTATATAAATATGTATGTATATATGTATGTGTATAAAGGTATTTATATATGTGTATATATATGTATTTATGTATGTATGTATATATGTATGTGTATATATATATGTATGTATATATAAATATATGTATGTATATATACATGTATGTATATAGGTATGTATGTATATATGTATGTATATTTATACAGGGTTTTTCCTGCGTTCAAAATTGCGTGGCGGCCGCCTCCACCTAATTTTGTGCCGCCCCCAGCCAGAGCGATTGATTTCGCTCAACACAGCGTAAAGCTCCAGCTGTGTTGATTGAGCGATTGATGTCCCGATGCAGCAGCAACGTATTTTAACTGCAGTTGCAGCGTTGCGCCACTATAGAGGCGCTATATCAACAGCAGTGCACCGGAAAGACCTGACGCATCTACCGAAGAAGAAACGGATTGAATCATGTTTTTCAAGTTTTTTTTCCCGCTAGTTGGTGCTATCGGCATCCCGATTTTCCCTGGCGGCTGGACACAAACAGGTAAATACTGCTTGTCTTTTTTGCATCCAAGCATGACGTGTTTATTAAAAAAAAAAGTTTCCTCCGTTTTTTAGCATTGCAGATATGACAGGCAAAATCAGCCAGTACTTTAAAAAGCGACCTCGCGAGGAGGAAAGTCAAGAGTCCAGGTGAAACACAGCAGAGAAAAACCGTAACAGGCAGTTAAAATGCTATAATTCATGGTGGTGACGACGTGGAAATTTGTGTCAGGTCTGAAAGTACTTCACAAGGGACTGGTGATCGCGAGGGTCAGAATGCAGGATAGGACGAGTCGGCGAGGCGAGGTTAATTAATTAATTAGATTCATAACATAGCATAACAACGCAAAATCAACGTGTACGTGGTTTCTATTCCTCTTTCCAGATCTTCTCAAAAACACAGAGCCAGTGGCTTTGACAAGCAGTGGCTCAATCAGTTTACCTGGCTCAGGCATACTGAGGAAGGCATGCACTGCTATTTATGCCAAAAGCACTGTGCCCCAACACAGCAGGTAATTGCTGCCTCCTTAGTGAGACAGCCATCAACCAACTACAGGCTGGACACATTAAAAAGACATGAGGTGACAGCCGTTCACAGAGCAGCAGAAGAGAAGGAGAAATATATTAAAGATGGTAGTACCTAAAAACACTCAACTAATAAAGTTACAAAAACTGAAACAACATAGTTTAGATAGTTTAAGACATAATTGGTTGTCGTTTTTTTTTAGGCAGGACACTGCAACGTATACATATATATAATATATGATTGAAAACACTATCACTCTTCATGTCTGTATCAGAATAAAAACAAAAATACTTAATGCATGATGAATTGTTTTGTTTAAGGTGAAGACACCTCTGCGGAACAGACTGAAGGAGAGGCACTTGGATGTCTGTTGTAAGGTGGCCGTTGATGGACCAGACCAGGAGGCCTTGGACTACAAGGAGTGCATGAGGAGGTTCTACAGAATGAAAAAGAGGAGGCTAAAATGTTCTGTCTGGTTGTGAGATGTGTGGATGAAGTGTACTTTCAATTTAAAGTTGCCAGCTGATTTGTGTATGTATATAGTTTTAATAAATAAATGCTTTAACATAATAATGGTCACACTCTTTTTTGAACTCTTAACTTAAAGTATGTTGCCTGTAAAAGAAAGTGAGTCAGTTGAATTTACAAATACATGCACGCCATGGCGCATGGTCAGGATGGTGCCACCTCTGCCTCAATTTGAGCCAGGAAAAACCCTGTTATATGTATGTATGTAGGTATGTATGTATATATCAGTGGCGGCTGCTGGTCTTTCAAGGAGGGGAAGCTCATTTTTCTGGCCTATATCATAATTGTATTTGTTTATTAGTATGTAACAGAACAGAGTCGCCAAACACAATGGCAGTCGTTTTTAACAAAGACAAAAGTCGCTGAGGATCGGTAAAGTCTCCGGAGCAGTTAAGAACAACGGAATGAATAACTTGGAAAATGCTCTGGTAGATGTTTTATTCTTAAAGATCGCTGATTCGCTTGTTTAGCTGTCAATCAAAAAAGGATTGCGCCTCAGACAGCTCATCCAATCATGGATGCAGAAGCTCGGAGTCCGGGAGAAAGTCGGGACCGCCCTCTCGCCATAGAACTTCAGTGAAGCTGGGCTTCCGATGGGCGGGACAAAGCCCAGCATTTATCCAATGAGCGTCTAGTTTCGCTGCTGGAACAACCCACTTTAAGCTTCCACATTGAAGTCAGCAGAAGCACAGCGTCCGGCTGTCCGGCGCTGAGGCGCTGCGAGGATGAATGAGAACGAAGTTATGCCGGTTACCTGTGATTATCAGCTTCTTATCACAGTGTCTGAACAAAAGATGAAGGCTTTCTAGCGCGTATTTAGTTAATGAAATGTACACACAGCCGTACGTATTTCACCACTTTTTCTTTTTTTTGGGGGGTGACATTTTAAGGGAAGCCGAGCTTCCCTTGCAGTCTTAGAGCAATCGCCACTGGTATATATGTATGAATATTTACATGTATGTATGTGTATATATGTATGTATATATGTATAAATGTATGTATATATGTGTAAATATATGTCTATGTATGTATATATGTATATATGTATATATGTATATTTATGTGTATATATATATACATATACATGTATATATGTGTGTGTATGTATATATATATATACATATATGTATATTTATGTGTATATATACATATATGTATATTTATGTGTATATATACATATATATTTATTTATGTGTATATATACATATATATTTATTTATGTGTATATATATACATATATATCTTTATGTGTATATATACATATATATGTGTGTATATGTGTATATATACATATATATGTATATATGTGTGTACATGTGTATATATACATACACACGTGGACAAAATTGTTGGTACCCCTCAGTTAAAGAAGGAAAAACCCACAATTCTCACTGAAATCACTTGAAACCTACAAAAGTAACAATAAATAAAAATTTATTGAAAATTAAATAATCAAAATCAGCCATTACTTTTGAATTGTTGATTAACATAATTATTTAAAAAAACAAACTAATGAAATAGGGCTGGACAAAAATGATGGTACCCATAACTTAATATTTTGTTGCACAACCTTTTGAGGCAATCACTGCAATTAAACGATTTCTGTATTTGTCAATGAGCGTTCTGCAGCTGTCAACAGGTATTTTGGCCCACTCCTCATGAGCAAATTGCTCCAGTTGTCTCAGGTTTGATGGGTGTCTTCTCCAAATGGCATGTTTCAGCTCCTTCCACAGATGTTCAATGGGATTCAGATCTGGGCTCATGGAAGGCCACTTTAGAATAGTCCAACGCTTTTCTCTCAGCCATTCTTGGGTGTTTTTGGCTGTGTGTTTTGGATCGTTGTCCTGTTGGAAGACCCATGACCTGCGACTGAGACCAAGCTTTCTGACACTAGGCAGCACATTTCTCTCCAGAATGCCTTGATAGTCGTCAGATTTCATTTTACCTTGCACACATTCAAGACACCCTGTGCCAGATGCAGCAAAGCAGCCCCAAAACATTGCTGAGCCTCCTCCATGTTTCACCGTAGGGACAGTGTTCTTTTCTTCGTATGCTTGGTTTTTGAGTCTATGAACATAGAGTTGATGTGCCTTACCAAAAAGCTCCAGTTTGGTCTCATCTGTCCAAAGGACATTCTCCCAGAAGCTTTGTGGCTTGTCAACATGCATTTTTGCAAATTCCAGTCTCGCTTTTTTATGATTTTTTTTCAGCAGTGGTGTCCTCCTTGGTCGTCTCCCATGAAGTCCACTTTGGCTCAAACAACGACGAATGGTGCGATCTGACACTGATGTACCTTGGCCTTGGAGTTCACCTTTAATTTCTTTGGAGGTTGTCCTGGGCTCTTTGGATACAATTCGAACGATCTGTCTCTTCAATCTGTCATCAATTTTCCTCTTGCGGCCACGTCCAGGGAGGTTGGCTACTGTCCCGTGGGTCTTGAACTTCTGAATAATATGAGCCACTGTTGTCACAGGAACTTCAAGCTGTTTAGAGATGGTCTTATAGCCTGCACCTTTAAGATGTTTGTCTATAATTTTTTTCGGATGTCCTGGGACAATTCTCTCCTTCGCTTTCTGTTGTCCATGTTCAGTGTGGTACACACCTTTTCACCAAACAGCAGAGTGACTACTTGTCTCCCTTTAAATAGGCAGACTGACTGATTATGAGTTTGGAAACACCTGTGATGTCAATTAAAGGACACACCTGAGTTAATCATGTCACTCTGGTCAAATAGTTTTCAATCTTTTATAGAGGTACCATCATTTTTGTCCAGCCCTATTTCATTAGTTTGTATTTTTTAAATAATTATGTTAATCAACAATTCAAAAGTAATGGCTGATTTTGATTATTTAATTTTCAAAATTTTTTTATTTATTGTTACTTTTGTAGGTTTCAAGTGATTTCAGTGAGAATTGTGGGTTTTTCCTTCTTTAACTGAGGGGTACCAACAATTTTGTCCACGTGTGTATATACATATATGTGTGTATATGTGCAGGGTTTTTCCTGCGTTCAAAATTGCGTGGCGGCCGCCTCCACCTAATTTTGTGCCGCCCCCAGCCAGAGCGATTGATTTCGCTCAACACAGCGTAAAGCTCCAGCTGTGTTGATTGAGCGATTGATGTCCCGATGCAGCAGCAACGTATTTTAACTGCAGTTGCAGCGTTGCGCCACTATAGAGGCGCTATATCAACAGCAGTGCACCGGAAAGACTTGAAGCATCTACCGAAGAAGAAACGGATCGAATCATGTTTTTTCAAGTGTTTTTCCCGCTAGTTGGTGCTATCGGCGTCCTGATTTTCCCTGGCGGATGGTACAAAAAGGTAAATACTGCTTCTCTTTTTTGCATCCAAGCATGTCGTGTTTATTTAAAAAAAAAGTTTACTCCGTTTTTAGCGTTGCAGATATGACAGGCAAAATCAGCCAGTACTTTAAAAAGCGACCTCGCGAGGAGGAAAGTCAAGAGTCCAGGTGAAACACAGCAGAGAAAAAAAGGAACAGGCAGTTAAAATGCTATAATTCATGGTGGTGACAACGTGGAAATTTGTGTCAGGTCTGAAAGTACTTCACAAGGGACTGGTGATCGCGAGGGTCAGAATGCAGGACAGGACGAGTCGGCGAGGCGAGGGTAATTAATTAATTAGTTTTCAATTAGGAGCATAACAACGCAAAGCCGACGTGTACGTGGTTTTTATTCCTCTTTCCAGATCTTCTCAAAAACACAGAGCCAGTGGCTTTGAAAAGCAGTGGCTCAATCAATTTACCTGGCTCAGGCATACTGAGGAAGGCATGCACTGCTATTTATGCCAAAAGCACTGTGCCCCAACACAGCAGGCAATTGCTGCCTCCTTAGTGAGACAGCCATCAACCAACTACAGGCTGGACACATTAAAAAGACATGAGGTGACAGCCATTCACAAAGCAGCAGAAGAGAAGGAGAAATATATTAAAGATGGTAGTACCTAAAAAAACTCAACTAATAAAGTTACAAAAAATAAATAACATAGTTTAGATAGTTTAAGAAATAATTGGTTGTCGTTTTTTTTTTTTTAGAGAGGACACTGCAGCGTATACATATATATGATTGAAAACACTATCACTCTTCATGTCTGTATCAGAATAAAAACAAAAATACTTAATGCATGATGAACTGTTTTGTTTAAGTTGAAGACACCTCTGTGGAACAGACTGAAGGAGAGGCACTTGGATGTCTGTTGTAAGGTGGCCGTTGATGGACCAGACCAGGAGGCCTTGGACTACAAGGAGTGCATGAGGAGGTTCTACAGAATGAAAAAGAGGAGGCTGAAATGTTCTGTCTGGTTGCGAGATGTGTGGATGAAGTGTACTTTCAATTTAAAGTTGCCAGCTGATTTGTGTATGTATATAGTTTTAATAAATGAATGCTTTAACATAATAATGGTCACACTCTTTTTTGAACTCTTAACTTAAAATATGTTGCCTGTAAAAGAAAGTGAATCGGTTGAATTTACAAATACATGCACGTCGTGGCGCACGGTCAGGATGGTGCCACCTCCGCCTCAATTTGAGCCAGGAAAAACCCTGATGTGTATATATACATATATATGTATATATGTGTGTAAATGTGTATGTATACATATATATGTGTGTACATGTGAATATATACATATATATGTATGTACATGTGTATAAATACATATATATGTTTATATGTGTGTACATGTGTATATATACATATATATGTATATATGTGTGTACATGTGTATATATACATATATATGTATATATGTGTTTACATGTGTATATATACATATATATGTATATAAGTGTGTACATGTGTATATATACATATATGTATATATGTGTGTACATGTGTATATATACATATATATGTGTGTACATGTGTATATATATATACATATATATGTATATATGTGTGTACATGTGTATATATACATATATACACTCACCGGCCACTTTATTAGGTACACCTGTCCAACTGCTCGTTAACACTTAATTTCTAATCAGCCAATCACATGGCGGCAACTTGGTGCATTTAGGCATGTAGACATGGTCAAGACCATCTCCTGCAGTTCAAACCGAGCATCAGTATGGGGAAGAAAGGTGATTTGAGTGACTTTGAACGTGGCATGGTTGTTGGTGCCAGAAGGGCTGGTCTGAGTATTTCAGAAACTGCTGATCTACTGGGATTTTCACGCACAACCATCTCTAGGGTTTACAGAGAATGGTCCGAAAAAGGAAAAAATATCCAGTGAGCGGCAGTTCTGTGGGCGGAAATGCCTTGTTGATGCCAGAGGTCAGAGGAGAATGGCCAGACTGGTTCGAGCTGATAGAAAGGCAACAGTGACTCAAATAACCACCCGTTACAACCAAGGTAGGCAGAAGAGCATCTCTGAACGCACAGTACATCGAACTTTGAGGCAGATGAGCTACAGCAGCAGAAGACCACACCGGGTGCCACTCCTTTCAGCTAAGAACAGGAAACTGAGGCTACAATTTGCACAAGCTCATCGAAATTGGACAATAGAAGATTGGAAAAACGTTGCCTGGTCTGATGAGTCTCGATTTCTGCTGCGACATTCGGATGGTAGGGTCAGAATTTGGCGTCAACAACATGAAAGCATGGATCCATCCTGCCTTGTATCAACGGTTCAGGCTGGTGGTGGTGGTGTCATGGTGTGGGGAATATTTTCTTGGCACTCTTTGGGCCCCTTGGTACCAATTGAGCATCGTTGCAACGCCACAGCCTACCTGAGTATTGTTGCTGACCATGTCCATCCCTTTATGACCACAATGTACCCAACTTCTGATGGCTACTTTCAGCAGGATAATGCGCCATGTCATAAAGCTGGAATCATCTCAGACTGGTTTCTTGAACATGACAATGAGTTCACTGTACTCAAATGGCCTCCACAGTCACCAGATCTCAATCCAATAGAGCATCTTTGGGATGTGGTGGAACGGGAGATTCGCATCATGGATGTGCAGCCGACAAATCTGCGGCAACTGTGTGATGCCATCATGTCAATATGGACCAAGCTCTCTGAGGAATGCTTCCAGCACCTTGTTGAATCTATGCCACAAAGAATTGAGGCAGTTCTGAAGACAAAAGGGGGTCCAACCCGTTACTAGCATGGTGTATCTAATAAAGTGGCCGGTGAGTGTATGTGTGTATTTATATGTGTGTATATATATCCTGTGTTCTCAGAGTCATAGTGGAAAGAAACTGATGTTTTATGATGAGCACACATGCAGCAGCATAGATACTTTTCCTTACACATATAGCCCAAGTAGCCCACTATCAGACATCTATATCTATTGGCATCAACTGTTTCATTTAATTCAGATGATGTTTAGTGGATGAAATAGTGATTCAAACACTTTGAGTCCGTGGTTGTAGCCCCGTCCATGCAGTACTGAATGGTTAAAATTGTGCATTGGCACAATCTGCTTATCACTGTGGAATAGTGAAATTTACAGCCCTGGCAATCAAGTGACTGCATAAAAAAGATTGCAATATGTTCTTTAAAAAAATCATATTAGGACCACAGGCCTAAAAAGTTGAAGTCCTCTAATTATTATGTTTTTCACGTGTAAATCAATTCCAGATTTACTGATGTGTTAAAAGAGTTTTGTTGTCAGACTTACTTGAGTATTTGTGTACAAAGTTTTATCATTAGTTTTATTATTGGCATGATCAGTTCAGTTTTATCAGACGTGGCACTTAAGACATGATCGAAGCTGTCAGTCTGACCTGGGTTGTGTGGAAGACTTTGTTGAGCTTAAATTGCAGCCCTGACTTATCTGTTTCCTTCAGGTGTGCGCCAGGCTTTGTGGTTGACCAAAACAAAGCTGATCTCTGGACTTCCACCTCAGCTCCTCTCGCACGCTGAAGATCCCATTAATCAGATTCCTGATCAGGATAATCGTGTCAAAAATGCCATCAAGCATGCACGCTTCTGGGACACAACTAATGAACGACCACCCAAAGAGAAATACAGGTACGCTTTGCCCAGAAACTTTAAAGTAATATAAAATGTTTGATTCAACTTTGTACCTTACACATTTTTGCTACTGGAAAATTTCCTGTCAATCAATTTTTCCAAGAGGTGCATTCCAGGTTCATTTTCACAGTAACAAGCTTTTTCAGGGTGTCTTCAAGGTCTTAAAAGTATTAAAAGTTGATAAATCAACTGTTGGAAAATTAAGGCCTTTAAAAAGTATCAAAAAGTCTTGAGTGTGATTTTATGAAAAATTAACATTTCTCCAAAAAGTACTGTGAATATTCATTTTCCTCCTCGAGACTATTACAAACAAAGGTGTGCTGATGGTGTTCTTGGAGCGAGATCCCCCCTTGGTGGCGCGCTTATGGGCACAACGTCATGAAACAGCAAGTGTTAACATAATAAGCCGTAAGACATAATAAGGAGTAGATGCCGCGTAGACCGCTACATTCTATTGGCAGTGGGGCCACCACTCTGGTCTGGTCACCTGCTCCGTTTGATTGCGCTCTATTTAATAGGCACAATTTTGTCTCAGCGCATTCAATCAGTCCCAACCCATTGAAAACGAAACACATTTTCAAGCAGTTTCTTTCTTCTGCAAGAAAGAAACCGACAACTTTTTGGGGCTAGGAGAGATGCTTAAACTAGCATGGGGGACGCGATTGAAAGGAGCCAGAACCCTGGGTTGTCAAAACCATCCTGCAAAAATCGGCAGGGTATGCCAGCAAGTGCTTACAACCAGAATGCCAGAGTTAGTTGTGCTGACATGCCACTAGGGCTGCACGATGTATAATTTGAGCATCGTCACATTGCGATGTAGGAGGCAAATGAACTCCTATAATTTCAAGGGTAGCTGACTGACATACACTGCATGTCAACTCTGCCTGTGCTGTGCAGTGATCCACCAATCACATTCATTCTTTACTCAGTTGCCAACCAGACTACCCTACCAGCTGCCACTCAAAATCAGAAGAGAGAAGACCACGCCTCTGCACATGGAGCTGCCGGTAACAACAAAAACAAAGATTGCAAAATGAGCAACGAACAAGAGAAAAGAGACAATGAAGACTTGGCGCCACCTCTAGCAAGTCAGATGTGTGAATCATGAGATGAGACTGGAGAAAAACAAAATAGGGATTATTCGTTATCAACGCGGCAGACGTGTGCAACATAACTGTAGTTGTCAGGGTTATCTCAGTTATCTTGCAGTTGTGCTGTGTTATCCCCCACTGATAAATAAGGTATGCTGCTATATTAACATTAGTGAATGGGATACGTCTTATTGACCCATACGTGTTAGACACAGGTGAGTGGATAAATGACGAGAAAAAACGGACTTCAGTCAGCGGACATCCATATGTATCTGACCGGGACACAAAGTCCCTTTTTCTGGGAGAGGCTGAAATCCTCCCAGATACCGGATGACTATAACTACAGACAATCATGCTCAGGACTATTTACAACACTGAAAACTTTGTGGCTCTTAGGACTAAGGTGCTGCCTAGTCAAGACAAGAAAGAGGCTGGAGGTAAAGTCTAGGTCATTGTGAATAAGAAAAACATATGTTTCCTGACAGAGAGGTGCACCAGGGTGATCTGGTGTGCAATTGTTGCCTCCTCAGCTTCCTCATCCCTGTAAAGGACACCGGGGGTGAAGTTGGTAGGAAGTTGGAAGTTTGACGGACATTTGTTTCAGGGAAACGTTTTTTCATATATAAGAATTAATAACATTTATGAACAGATTTGAAATGTATAAACAAGAGGTGTGTCTCATGCAGCATCCAGGTAATGTGATCAATTGACTCAAAATCAGGGTGGGATCATTGTACTCTACTCTGAGGAAGTGCCAGTTTTCGGGAGAAATCTTGAAATCTTGAAAACACTACCCCTCCCAACCAATTTTCCCCTCATCATTCATTCAAATGATGCGGCTGCGCCGAGAGGTTGCTGCAAGTCTGGTCTCTCTGTATCATCTGTAATTTTTGCTAGATTTTTATTTCATTTTTTTGTTGTCATTTTGTTGGCTGCTGATGGATACTTCTGCTGGGCGAAGAATTGACTCAAGAGAAGAGCTCCTTTCATTGAGGAAAAGCAAATCTGGACAACATACAGTTCTAGAGGACATCAGGAGGTGTTATTGTGGTTGCCGTGCTGGTCCAAAGGTGAAGGCAAAGCTGAATGCTAGGAGGTGGCGATATAAACCCTTTCTTCCATTAATCATCAGGGAAAACCTCAACTCTCTGTCCAACAAAAGCGATGAGCTGGAGAACTTGGTGAAGACTGAGAAAGCATACCGTGAGTGCAGTTTCCTGTGTTTTACTGAAACCTGGTTGAATGAAAACAACTCGGACTCCAGCGTGGATCTACCTGGCTCTTTATATATTATACCTGACTTTATAAAGTCAGACAGAGATGCTCAAGCTAGTGGCAAGAAGAAAGGAGGAGGTCTGGCTTTATTTGTCAACCAGAGATGGTGTAACCCTCCACACATAACTGTCAAGGAGAAGTTGTGTTGTCCAGATATTGTTGGCAGATAACTGTTGGCAGTTGCTCTTCGGCCATATTATGTTCCCAGAAAATTTAGTCATATCATAACAGTAGTTGTTTACATTCCACCCAAATCAACTGAGGAATGTTGCGATGTTTTGCAAAATATTGTTGCCGGGCTACAGACTCAACACCCTGAGGCAATAATAATAGTATCAGGAGACTTCAACCATGTCACCACGTCCTCTCACCTGACTGGATTCACACAGTTTGTGAACTGTCCTACCAGGGAGAACAAAACCCTGGATCTGCTGTATGCCAACGTCAAAGAAGCCTACAGAGCCACTGCCTTACCACCACTGGGCAAGTCAGATCATAACTTGGTCTATCTGCAAACCTGTTACAGACCTTGTGTGCTGAGGCAGCCGGTGACCAAAGTCAAAATAAGAAGATGGACACCTCAAGCCAGTGAAGCTCTAAGGGACTGTTTTAAATCAACAGACTAGAATGTGCTGCTGGAAACAGATGTGGATAGTATGAACATTGATAAACAGGTTGACTGCTTTACTGATTATGTCAACTTCTGTAGAGACACAGTTATACCCACAAAGACTGTTCGCTGTTTCCCCAACAACAAACCCTGGATCACAAGAGACATAAAAGCAATCCTTAACCAGAAAAATAAAGCTTTTAAAGATGGTGACAAAGAACAACTCAAACAAGTGCAACAAGAGTTGGAGACTGAAGATGGCAAAGCTGGAGGACAAAAAGAAGATAGAGAAGAATCTACAACACAGCAACATCCGTGAAGTGTGGAGAGGAATCAGTACCATCTCTGGACACAGCAGTCAAAAGAAAAGACAGCCAGTGGTGGGTGATGTGAAAAGAGCTGATGAACTCAACCTGTTCTTCAACAGATTTGACACTGCTGTCACTCCCACTTCCACTGCTACTCCACCTTCCTCTCTGTAACAAATCTCCACTACAACTTCTCCCCTTCCTCCTCCATCTTGTTCAAATGTCTCAACCACTTCAACTGCCTCCCTCCTAGAACACCAGTCCTTATCTGTCACAGAAACAGGGGGGAGGATAGAGCTTGGAAGACTTTGTCCTGGGAAGGCAGCTGGTCCAGATGGTGTGTGTCCAAGGCTGCTTAGAGACTGTGCTGCAGAACTGTGTCAACCTAGCCAAATGGCAAATAGTGGTGTACGGCTCCTCTCTCTTCGCTGCAGGACAGTAAGATTCAGAAGATCTTTTGTACCAACAGCCATGAGGCTTTATAACTCTATGAAAATAAAAGATAACTTTTATAGACATATTACCACTATTGTGTGTTTTTTAATATCACCGGTTTTATCCAGCGGGAGATCTCTGTGGGAATTGTGAGGAAGTGCCATCTGACTCCTGATGTGGCTGCAAATTTTATTGATGTTTTAGACAAAAGTCCTCCAATTGCTTTACCTGCCCCCTGTGATTTTATTATAGACAATTTTAACAGTAGACTACGGTCAGCCCTTGAACTGGTTGCTTCACTGAAAACAAAAAACATCCAACCCAAATCTATACCCCCTTGGAGAAATGAGGAGTTAAAAAAATTAAAGAGGAGTGCAGGGTGGCAGAACGTAGGTGGAGGAAAAACAAAATAACTATAAATAATCAATTATTCAGTAATCAGCAAAGAATTTACAATAATGCCATTAGAAATGCAAGAAATAATTACTTTTCAAAATAATCACCAACCACAAAAATAACCCCAAAGTTCTCTTTCCAACAATTGATAGCATTTTATCCCTGATTTTAGGAATCGTTATTTTAATCCCACTGACTCCCTCTGTGATGAATTTGCACACCACCTCATGGGGAAGATAAACACGATCAGATGTGACATTTTATCAAATCAAACTACCGTTTGTAACATGTCTGAGTGTTTGTCTTTGCCTGAGGGAACACTGGACAGTTTTGTTCTGGTTAATGCTGAGATGCTGGATAAAGTTTTCTCCTCAGTGAGGCCCACCACATGTCTTTTAGACCCTGTCCCAACCTCATTCTTTAAGTTATTTTATGATTCTTTTAGAAACGAGCTTTTAAACACGATGAATTGCGTTCTTCAGACAGGGGTCTTTCCCGCTGCCTTTAAAGCGGCAGTGGTGGGGCCCCTGCTGAAGAGGAGCAATTTAGATTTGTCTAACTTACCGTTTTTAAGCAATATTTTAGAAAAACTTGTTTTTATCCAACTTAAAGAATTTTTAGCCAATTATAATATTCTTAAAAAGTATCAGCCTGGTTTTAGGCTGAACCACAGCTCCGAGACTGCCTTGGTAAAGATTTTAAATGGTATTAGATTAAATTATGACTCACAAAAGGTGACATTGTTAAATTCTGCTGGATTGTAGCACTGCCTTCAGTACAGTAGATCACACTATTCTTTTAAACTGCCTAAAACACCTTGGCCTCTCAGGTGCTGTTCACAGATGGTTCACCTCCTACCTGACAGACAGGACATTCATGTTAAGTGTAGACAAGTGCTCCTCCAAAGTACATAAAATCAGATCGGGTGTGCCCCAGGGTTCGATTTTAGGCCCTGTGCTTTTTAACATGTACATGCCCACTCTTGGTGGTGTCATTAGGAGACACGGAATCAACTTCCACAGCTATGCTGATGATACGCAGCTCTACATCTCCATGTCTCCTGATGACACCAGGCCAATGGATGCTCTTTTTCACTGCATTTTAGATATCAAATCCTGGATGGCAGAAAACTTTCTCCAGCTTAACCAGGACAAAACTGAGGTTTAGTCATCTGTCCTGAGGCCAAGAGAGAGAAACTTTTACTCAAACTACGAGCACTGTCTCTTAATCCATCACCACAAGTGACAAACCTGGGCGTCATTTTTGACTCTGAGCTGACTTTTAGTCCACACATTAAGAACATAAAAAAATAGGTTTTTATCACCTAAAGAACATTGCTGTACGCCCCATTCTCTCTTGAGCCAACACAGAGACACAAATGCATGCTTTTATCACCAGTCGTATAGACTATTGTAATGTCCTGCTTTATGGTCTTCCCAAAAAGAATATTTCAGGTCTACAATTATTACAAAACTCAGCAGCATGTGTCCTGACTAAGACCACCAGTCTTAGAATCATTGCATGGGCTCCCTCTGTGTTTAAGGATCGACTTTAAGGCTCTTTTACTTGTTTTTAAATGTCTTAATGATCTTGGGCCTTCTTATCTTTCAGAAATGCTTTTGGGTCATTCCATGTCAATTCAACCAAGAATCTCCACTCACATCACAGATTTTGATGAAATTTGGTGGACTGATTGGCCTTCAGGAGAAACTGTCAGAGCTCAAATATTTTTGTTCAAAGCCATCTAATTTGTGAGATAGGGGCTAATGAATTTTTGGCTAATTAGCATGACATGCGTTACAAAAGTGTTCATATCTCTGGAAGTATGGCACCTAGAGAGCTACAAGATCTGTTAGCACAAGCGATGGAGAGAAAAGTCAACGTACAGCCTGATAAGCCATTCTGCTAATATTTGGGTACATTTTGAAAACAATGTACTCAGATACAGAAAATGATCAAACAAAACCATCCACAAAAGACACGCCACAGCAGTATCAGGGGACCGTGCCCCCCCCCCCCACACACACACACACATACACACCTTTTTTCTTTTTTTTCACATCATCATAGGCCACACAAAAGTGTAACAAGTATACATGTCAACTCGCTAAGTACTTGTTTGAAGATGATAAATGCAAGCAGCACATTAAATTTTTGGGAAATAAACTACTCCCCCCTCTTTCTGTTTGTGATCCATCCTATCTTCAGCAACACTCTGCTCCGCAACCTTCTCCACCTGTGTGCGACTCTACAGTCCAATCATCCTGAGATTGAAAGGAGGATTCTTGCAGAGAAATACTCATTAGCAGCTTCATGGAAAAGAGGTAAGATGATCCATTATATGGTGTGTCTGACGATATGTAATGGTTGCCGGTTTATGTCCATTTACTGCAAAAACTGTCTTCAAAAATAAATGATGGTACTTGGTACTAATATTTCATTTTATTTCATTTCTCCACTCCAGGTGATGATCTCTTCCAGATTAGAGGTCAAAATGGTTTACTCCTTAACTGCATGGATCCTCTACCAGAGGTCTCTGCAAAAGGGGAAGTGAATGATACGGCGGATCATGTTCTGGAAACTTTCTACCCTGTCTCCCCTACCATTGACCTACAGGAAGTATATGTCTATAAAAAGGAGTTATATAGCTCAGGTAAGAAGACAGTATTCCTCTGTTCACTGCTGAATTTGCTGAGTGTAACATTATGAGTGTTAGGTTCTCCAGCTGTCAGACTATTAAATGATGTCTCTGTTTTCGGAGCAGGTTTCAGAGATGACTACCCTTATCAGCATGCCCACACACTGTACTTCTCAGAGCGAGGGAGTGACAGCTGTAGACTCCGTCCAGAACAGTTGAGGGCTAAGATGGTCATGTTCTCCTTTGGAAACGCTCTGGCCCGTGCACACAAACAGTATGGGGTGAGCAAATAGATGCCATATTCAGCAGGATGTCAAGTGTTTCCCACAGGGGGAATCTATTTGTGGTGGTGTGTGATTTGGGGAGTGGGGGGGTGATGGGGACTGTGTGTGTTCCCTGATTCAGAGAGCGAGGTGGGGGATGGGGGTGGAGGCTAATTAATCAGCTGTGTGATTGCAGATGACAACTTGCTAATGCTACAATTCGTTATGCATGCGCACCCTGCAGTGCAGCGCCTGTTTGCGCCATGTATACCAATACATACTGAGTCTGAAGTAGGCACATGTGAAAAAAAACTTAATTTCTAAGGTGTGGCAGCTTATATTTAGCCGTGGCAGTGCGCCACAATCAAGTACATGTAGGGGAAACCATGATGTTTTTCTACACTGGATTTTAGGGAATAAATATATTATGATGTTTAACCAGTGGCTGATCCACATTATCTCACTCCATAACTATCCCACTCACTGTCTCTCTTTTGTATCCTTTTCACCTTATGTTTGTGTGTTTCAGCCCCAGCCTCAGCATCTCTTAGAAAAGCCGATAACTGTACAGGCAGTAGGAACCAATGGCAGAGTTTTCCAGTTTTTGGTGTTCCAGCTGAACACGACCGATCTCTCAGGTGACGACGGAATCAAAAACCAGGTGCTTCATTTTAACTCCAGCTGTACTTCCTTTGTTTAGGAAAAGCCAAAGTCACACATGTTTGACAGGGCACAAACAGCCATGCTGGCTCTGACTTGGAAGACCTCGTAAACTCTTCCATAAACTTCACTTTAGCTTTGCAATTAGTCTCAAAAAGGATTTGTCTGATGTTATTTCACAGCTTCAAAGGCATCTTCATAACTGAATAATATGAAATCAAGATCAGTTTGCCTGAGCTGTAATGGATCTCCTAAATTGGTCCATATTTTTTTGAATGTGCAAGGCACTATTAAATGAAATTGTGCAGAATATTTCAACTTATGAGTAGAGATAGACCAATGAATCGGTTGGCCAATTAATCAGGCTTATTAGTAACATCTTGAAATTATCGGCATCATGCCAGCATTTGTGACAGTTTCAAATCTAAAACAGTCACTGGCTTGTGTTGGATATACATTCTGTTTTGATGCACAAAATTATGCCGTTTAGTATTGCTTCTCATGTGAATAACAGCCATGAAATCAGATGCATGGCTTAATGTACTTTGCGTTATTGTTAGTGTATTAAAAATGTAAGAGACATGTTATCGGCTCAGAAAAAAACAACAAAAAAAAACTTGTCAATACCATGGTTTTGTGGCAATATTTCACTGAGCTAGTATGTTCAGCAACTTTATTTCTTACCTAGTTAGTATTATGATATTGTTCCTTTGACAATGTGATTGTCATTGTAAATCAGCCATTGGCTGAGCCTCTTTCTTACTAAGGGTGTGGGCATTGGCTGTCAAAAAACTGATACCTAGTAAATGTAAAAATGAGTTTGGTGCTCTTTGTTCACATTGTTTTTCTTAACACTTGTTTCTACTTTTAGTTGTGGCTGGATAAAGATGCTGAGCTCTATGAATTTGCAAAGGTCCGGCCCCTTATAAAGAAAAAGGAAGTGAAGGTATGATAATTGAAGATGAATGAATGAATGAATGAAAGTGAATATCTGCATTTATGGCCAATATTTAACAGTCATTTGGAGTGTGTTGTGCAATCACACAGAATCTTGTATAATTATAGCATGGACAGTGGGGTAGGTACCTGTGTTTGGTGTCTAGTTCAGCCCTTTAGTTTGCAGTCAAACAGACTGAAGTTATGGGGCTGTTGTAGTTCAGTGGTGGAGCTGGTCATCTCTTAATTGTGAGGTTGTGGGTTCCCTGCCATAAACCTCTATGTATGAATGTAGAATACATAGGTGAATATAAGGTATTGGAAAAATGTTTTGAGTTGTCAGAAGACAAGAGAATGCACTGAATCAACACAGTTCATATAAATATAGTAGATAAAATACTGATGCATCTTATGCACCCCAAAAGAAAACTAGGGCTGCAAGCAGCACTGAATCAGACCTTGCATCTCTGTGTTTAATATGCCAGATGTTGCACCCACAGTCAATAAGGTTGTGAATCATCATTTGGTGTACATCATGAACCTACTGAATCATGTCCCACATGACTTTGTTATGTATAGATAAAGAATAAAAACAAGCGTGCAAAACGAGATAGGTATTCAGATCAGCCATATAAAAATAGACAAACACACACATCAAGTAGTGGAGAGTGGGGTAAGATGAGCCATTTTTTCATATTACAGATCACTTCATCAAAGCAATCATAGTTTTGTCTCTAACTAGTGTATCTGCATATATTTCAAGATGTTGTGCATCCCTGCAAACTAACAGAATGAGTGTAAACATAACTGTCTTGATAATTTAGCTTGCCAAAAACAGTGGTCTCCTATTGTCGACTTACCCCATGTATAGGGTAAGTTGAGAATAGGAGCAGGGTAAGTTGTTGAGCCATTTTAACATGAGAATGCCTTTAAATGATTTAGAACATTCACAGCTGTGTTTTTGAAAAGAAAAAGTAACACATTTCAACAATCTGAACTGAAACTCTGATCCTCTCATCAAACTCCTTTACTTTCTCAGTTGAGCCACTGGCTCAACTTACCCCTGGCCAAACGGCTCAACTTACCCCAGAACTACTATTATGACTTTATTAGTCCTCTCAGCTAAAATAGTGGACTTTTATGCTAGGTTTTGACCTCATGTTGTAGCGCATAGAGGCCTCAAGTGATGTATAAAACAAATTTAAAATGATCTTTTTTGGTCTAAACACAATTCTAAAAAAAATTATGACAGACTAAATTCACTTTCAAGAGTGGAAAAAGTTTTTTTGGAAATAAATGTCTAACCCCTTCACCCGTGTGCTTCTAACCTTCACAAACTCCATGAATTGATGCCCGTCTCTTATATATTTGGTCACATGATCAGTTTCTTTTACCTTTTCAAGCAACAGGGTGTGGCTCAACTTACCCTTTGGCTCAACTTAACCCCACTCCCCCATACCCAAAAAACTGAAAGATATGAAAATCAAGCTTTCAAAGATGCACAAAAGTAGTAATCAAAGGAACACAATGATGATAAATAAGCAAACCATGCACACAAAAATTAATTGATAAGCATTATAAGCAGAACAAAAACAAACAGCATAAGAGAGGAAATCCTGCAAACATTAATAAATGCTTTTGAGGCATAAATGAATTTACACATACGCAAATAAAACATGCAAAATAACAGAAATTCATAACAAGTAGGATATTCCAGTCAAGCAGAAATTGCAAAAATCTAAATTTTGCAAAGAAAACAACCAAATAGATAAAGTTTACATCCAGCAGGAGAGCAAGATGTATTGAAACCAAGACATAGAAAGAAATGCAGATTAACCATGCACTCTTGGTTATACGTTTCTATAAATGAGCCATTAAGAGCTCGGGATATACCTTGTTACTAGTACACCCAAAACCACTTCTTAGAACCCAGGCAGTATTATTAAATTACTTTGGGATGCAGAAAAGGTGTGTTCACAATGACTTGCATCAAACCCTCACATGTACAAACACACAAGAACCCATGCAGTACTGCTTGCAGTTCTTATTTTTCAATTATTTTTAGTATTTTTTAACTTCAACAGAAAAAGTAAAACTATTAAAAATTTAGTGGTTTTTGATTATTTGTCTTTTGTCTTTCTGCAGGTCCCAGCTGGACTAAAAGGATACAAGCCAGAGACATTCAGAAAATTCCTGGCTCTGTATCTGCATGGAGCTGTGTCGGATTAATTGGAGTATTTCATAAACATGTTCATTTGTGACTGTGCATGGACAAATTTAGCAGTGAGTTAGTGTTCAAGTATATCCCTGGAATTCAGACCAAAATCTCCTCAGAAAGTGTCTCCTGTCTTCAAGAACTGTCAAAATGTAGAATTCACAATGTGCAGACTTGGGATATTTTTGCTAAGATAGCCTAAACAAGAAAACATGATATATTCAACTGTCAAAAGTCAGGAGGATGTGATTTTTTTGTTTGAAGTAACTACTTAAGCATGTAGAGGACAAGACAAGCAAAGACTGCTTTTTTTACAGGGAGTGCCAAAGTTGACACAAACTTAAAGTTTCTTATAGGTGTTTGTTTGGTAAATATTCTTACACAACAAATAAAAATATTGACAAGCATTTTGCTTGTGCATTATGTGTTCTTGCTTTATTGGTTGGACTTGTCCTGATGGTGGGGGTCAGGCAGAGTTCCTATCAGGTTCAATTCAGTGAAAGCTCTGAGATATAAAAGCTCTTTTGATTCCTATGATGAGTTAACAAAAACCTTGTTATGTAATAAGTTCACCAATAATGTAATAAAATAATCTAGCTCATATTGTAATAATATTTTACCGATAATGTAATACCTTGTTTATTGGGAATTTATTACATTTTCAGGAGTTTTGTTTTTTTTTTCAAAAATGATAAGATGCTGGAAGATGTGGCTACAGAAATGTCAGGAACAGCCTACTAGAACAGCTGAACTTTATTTGGGGTTGATCAGAGGCACTGTAATTGGTGACAGGTGTGTGCTGACTCCAATTTAACCTGAGTTTGAATGTAATTGGTTAAATCTGAACACAGCCACATCCCCAGTTATTAAAGGGTGTGCACACTTATGCAACCACGTGTGTGTGTACACAGTGGATATAAAAAGTCTACACATCCCTGTTTAACTGCCAGGTTTTAGTGATGTAAAAAAAATGACAGCCAGATAAATATTTTCACAACTGTTTCCACCTATAACCTGCACAATGCATGATGATGATGGTCTTTACTGTGCTCCATGGTATATTTATAATGTTTATAATGTTATATTTTGTAGCAATCAAGACAACCCTTGGTGTGAAACTCACACATTCCTCACAGGAAAGTTTCCTTATCTGGTCCCAGGACACAGGATATAAATCTTTCCAGACTTGTTTGCACTTTCAGGTTACCTAACTGACCCGACCGGAGGTTGACCAAGCCTCTGACTCTTCACGATTGGCCAGAGTTTTTATTACCTTTCAAACTGACTCCATCGCTGACCATCTAAATAATCATTCATGCCTCAATCCAGGTCTCTCATTTGAGATTTACCGTCTTAAAGTGTGTGAACATACGGACCCCAAGATAAGGGGGGACACTGACCTCCAGACCTCGGTCGTAAAACCCTGCTCAACCATGTACTGATAAAAACTGCATTCCTTTGGTGAAAGAATACAAATGACTGATCATGACATCTTATGCATTCAGCAATGTACTAATCTGTCTAATCATGAAATTTGTGTTAAAATGAGAGGTTTCTCATTTTTCTATGTGCTCCAGAAGCCAAGTTATCACTCTGACAGAATAAATCCTTATTCTTTAGTTTCTTTAGACCAACAGCTTTTCAGACTGTTTCATGAACTTTTAAGAGTTAAATTTATTGACTATGAATCATAACTTTACTCTAAGTAACAGAAATGGTTTAGAAATGTTTGGTTTATATTTTAGTTGTTTATTTAGTATTTTTAACCATTAGGTGGTTATAATGTCATTGAATAATCTGAATGTAAGTATTTAGAATCCATTATTAATCATGATGACATTCATTCACATGTGTTTACTCTTTTGTTGTTCACAGTTTCTATGTGTTACTATCTGTTTCATTTCAGAGTAATTTAGCATGTTCAATGTGATACTTAAAACATAATGAGAATGTTTGATGTGATCCTACATTTCATTCATATGTGTTTAGTATCAAATCATTTATCATGAAACCAAGCATTCAATGATATTAATCATAGTAAGTGAGTATCAGATCTGACACTTTTACCAGCCAAAAGTATAAGTTAGATCAAATAATCAGAGATCCGAGGTCTCCTCTGCTTGGAGACCCCTCGACCCCTCCTCTTTCTCCTCACACACACAAGCCAGAGACACTCCCAGTGTGAGAAGATTAAAACCAGTTAAGTGGGGTTGCTCACTCTCTTCTCCCCTTTCGCTCTTAGTGCCCTTACTCTCTTGTTGCCCTTATACACTCTTCTATTAATGCTCTTCTACTCTTTTTTTTGTCATTAAAGTTTTTATTTAGTCTTTCATATACACCTAAACATACAGTCAAACTAAAAAACAAAAAGACACCAACATCGACAGACAGTATATCGAGCTTACAGCCATGTACACAAACTTAATATCGATATTTCCTCTACAAAAAAATACTTTCCCAGGCCCTCCTAACATGTTCTTCTTCATTGTTAATTTTAGCCAGCATGTGTTTGTATGATGCAACTTCTGACATCATTTCCATCCACTTTTTAACATCTGGGGCGACTGTACTCTTCCATTCTCGGAGGATCGTTCGAGCAGCTGTGACCATTCTCACTTTTAAAACCCCTCTTTCACGTTTAGGTATATTTAGCATTTCTGTTTGGTCCCCTAACAAACACAATCTTGGTGATACAGGTACTGCCACATCCAGCCATTTACTTACATGGTTCACTACTTTCTCCCAAAACGGGTACACTAGTTTACATCCCCAAATCATATGTAAAAAAGTCCCTGTTTCACTCTGACATTTCCAACATAAATGATTTCCTATTAAGCCCATTCGATGTAGCTTTGAAGGAGTGAAATAAAATCTATGGATTATCTTATACTGAATAAATTTCCCTTTCGCCTCTCTCATATGTTTCCCTGTATTTGATAATATATTTAACCAGTCCTGTTCACTTAAATCACACCCTAGGTCTTTCTGCCAAACGATCCTCAGATTTTTACATGCATCTTCTCGTAAACCATTAAATGTTTTGTAGAATATGGCTGCTCTGTGTGCAGTACTGGGTAGATCCAAAACTTCCATCAATGTATTCTTTTTGTGACTAAATTTACCCTTTGTGATACAGTCCCTAATTTGCAAATACTTCCAAAAATTACCTTTATATTCCAGATTATATTTTTGCATAATATCAGTAAATGGCATTAATACTCCATCTACACACAGATCACTCAATTTGCGTATCCCTCCTACAAGCCATTGATTCCAACAGACAGATTTCTTCCCAATACGGATGGCTGGATTATGCCATAGAGAGGCGTAAGGTTGTCTTAAGTGGGAGATACTATACATTTTATGAATTTTTATGAACGGTTTTAGAGTAAGACAGCACTGGGTTCGAAAAATAATTATGTCCAGGAGTTTTTACACCACGTGAGAGAACATCCAGAGGTTCAAATGGGCTGGTTAGTTCCTATTCTATTTTGATCCAGCTCAGTTCCTGACCTATCCCCTTCCAATGCTTTATCAATCTAGACATTTCAAATGATATATTATATAATCTTACATTGGGTAGACTCATACCTCCTATCTCCCTAGGTGACCACATTTTTTTTATATTAATCCTTGGTCTTTTTTTATCCCATAAAAAATCTTTAATGATTCTATCGTAATGTTTAAACAACTGTGGTGCTATATTGACTGGTAACATCATGGAAACATAATTGAATAGTGGAGCCACCACCATTTTAATTACATTAATTTTTCCCCATAATGTGAGCTTCAATTTCCCCCATTTATCCAGGTTCATTTTTATTTTCTGGAGAAGTGGTTCCATATTTGAGAGCATTATTTCGTCAAGATTTGGGTTTAGTTGAATGCCTAGATATTTCATACCTGAAGGTATAAACTTAAAGCCATAAGAGGTGATAACCCCAGAGTGACATGTATGTGATATTGGCATACATTCGGATTTATTCCAGTTTATTTTGTAACCTGATAATTTTGAGTACCATTCAATACATTCAAGTAACACTGGCAGGGAGCCCCCAGGATCTTCTAGCACTGCTAAGATGTCATCGGCATACATAAATAGCTTGTGCTCTACACCCCCTGCCCTCACACCCTTAATCCTCACCTCAGCTCTGATTGCTACAGCTAATGGCTCAAGTACCATAGTAAAGAGCAATGGGGAGAGAGCACACCCTTGTCTCGTCCCTCTGGAAAGACAGAAAAAATCAGATATCAGCCCATTTGTAAGAACAGCTGCCCTCGGACCAGAATAAAGTAGCTTCACCCAGTTACAAAACCCAGTACCCAGCCCAAATTTTGAAAGAGTCAACCTGAGGAACTCCCACTCCACCCGGTCAAAAGCCTTCTCAGCGTCAAGTGAAAAAGCTGCTACTGGTACCGGATTAGAGCGATTCATATGTATCAGATGAATGAGCCTTCGCATGTTATCAACCGAGGACTTTTTTTTAATAAAACCTACTTGATCCCCATGTATAATGTCTGGCAATATTTTCTCTAAACGTGACGCCAAGGTCTTTGTCAAAATCTTACAATCCACCCCAAGTAGGCTCACAGGTCTGAAATTAGACGGATCAGAGGTATCTCTGTCCTTTTTAGGAATAAGAGAAATTAAAGCATCATTAAACGTACCCGGTAGCGAACCCCTCTCAAATACTTCCATGTACACCTTATGCAATAGAGGGGCCAAAATATCAATAAATTTCTTATAATATTCAACCGGGAAGCCATCCATACCAGGTGACTTCCCAGTTTTCATGGATGAAATAGCAGCCCTAATCTCTTCCTCTGTTATTGGAGCATCCAACATGTCTTTTTGCTCATTAGATATGGAAGGCAGATGGATACCTGAAAAAAAGGTTATTTCTTCTGGGTTGGGAGCACCAGAGGATGTGTAAAGATTTTCATAAAAACATTTAAAAACCTGATTAATTTCTTTTGATGAGGTTACTACCCCATTATCCTTCTTAATCATTGG